CTCGCCTTGCCCCAACGGGGCAGCCTCACCAGCCACGACCAGCAACAGACCGCCACCTCCTCTGCTTCCCTTGAAGCCCCTGCCCCGCGCTGCACCACACCTTCGCTGCTCATTGGAGAGGAACCGGAGCTCAAACTATTTGAATAACAAAATAATCTGCATTTTGTCCAGAGCCCAGCAGCTCTGGCTGGCTGGCTGGCTGGCTGCTGAGAATATACGAGTTTTTTAAAAGTAGATGTGAAAAAAAGTATGGGCAAAGCCTTGGTAGATATTAGAACTCACAGCAGAGACTGTATCATGTATTTTTGTGGCTTGGGTTGTGCTGGGTTAGGCTGGGTTGAGAGACAGTGACTGGCCCAAAGACACCCAGTCAGCTTCCAATATCTAAGACAGGATTACAACCAGGGGTGGGATTCTCCCGGTTTGGACCAATTCGGAGGAACCCCTAGCTCTGAAGATCAGCTGGCAGCAAACTGACGATCACACCTACCCACTCCTGCATTGTACTTACCTATATCCTCTCAGCTGATTCGCACGGCAGAGCGGATTGCTGCTCCTCAGCTGTGTTATTCCCCAATAGTAACATCGCAGGTAAGTTTTTTCGGAATGCTGTTCAGGCACATGCACACATGATTCACACGATCACCGAACCAGTTGTTACACCAGTAGCATCCCACCATTGACTACAGCTCACAGTCTCCTAGTTTCTAGGCGAGCACCTGAACCACGACACCAAATAGCAGCAATGTAGACACCAAATCTAAGAAATTATATCTTATTCTCATTCTGTAAAATCTTATGGAGACCAATTAGAAATTATCGCACATGTGTGCACATCTTGTGATTTCCTGTATAAAAATGCATTTCTAAATTGCTTTAGGGGAACAAAGCTATATTACTTCCTGGGGAGTTTTAAATAGCAATAGCACTTAGACTTATATACCACTTTATAGTGCTTTACAGCCTTCTCTTAGAAGTTTACAGAGTCAGCATATTGTTCCCAACAATTTGGGTCCTCATTTTGTCCAATGTAGAAGGATGGAAGGCTGAGTCAACCTTGAGCCTGGTGATATTCGATCTGCCAAATTGCAGGTAACTGGCTGCAACAGAAGTAGCTTGCAGTACTGCACTCTAGCCACTGCGCCACTGAGGGTCAGGGCGCAATAAGGAGCAAGGAGCCCTATCAGTTTAAAGGGTCACTTTGTAAAAGGAAATTAACATTCATCTGAAAAGCTGGAACCCTAAGTAAATCTTTTATGAGCCCCAACTAAAGATAATTGATGTACACAAGAGCTCACTACAGCTTGCATAAAGTTAGTGGTTGCTAGAATACTGAGATGTCCCCCAAACCATTATTTCCAATGCTGAGTAGTGATTTAATTTTAGATTATTGGCTTGCACTGTCTCCCAGCCTCTGTTCAGGTGCAAATCGGAAGTGTTGATTATCCCCTTTAAATCCCTACATGGCATGGGGCCAGGACTGCTTCCCCCTGAGGATACCTGCTCACCCACCAGATCAGAGTGGGAATGCTCTAAGTGCCTTCCCTTAAATCTTCCCATCTAGGTGGCTTAGGAAGTGTGTCTTTTCCATAGCTCTGTGGAAGACCCTTCCTCTAGCAATCCAACGCACCCCCATTCTTTTAGCCTTTTCAAAGGCCATAAAGAATTGGGTGTTCCCCAGGGTGCTGGGTTAGAATTAGGGTATTTGAGCTTGGCTGTTGGGAACAGTCCAGGAGGATGGCTGAGGTGTCTGCATCTTTCTTTTATGGGGTTTTATTTTTTGAGGAGGGGGTGGGATAATGGGCCACCTTGCTCTAAGACGGGTAGCCATACAAATCTTTTAAATAAATAAATAAAGTCTTGATGTTTTATCTGTTCTTAGGGAGTAAGACTGAGTTGCTTAGATTCATTGTTTTATAACATTTTCACTGATTGCAACACTGCCCACAATGAATAAATCAATTCACTTAAAAGCACTTTAATTTTATTTTCAAAGAAATGTTTTATTTTATTATGTCTGGAATGTTCTTTCTGTGTGAAAAGGATGCCTCTTCTGTTACGCTTGTTTAAGTGTATCTTCTGTTTTTTTTAAAGTATGGGTTTTTAAATGATAAATTCTAACCATGATTTTCAGACACCTTTGTGCTATATTTATGCTTTAGCATTCAGCCAAGTTTAATTTGCTTCTCCACATTAACACAATTATATTTTTTAAGATACAGTTGCTGACCCCATTAAAAAAAACAATAAAGAGTTATTCCGATCTCCTTTCCCTTGCAGCTTCCAAGGAGAAATAAGTAATATGAAATGTTATGCTTGGGAATCTTTGATTTTGCTCTGAGATTTGAAATTACTCAGACGTGCTCTGTTCTCTTTCCTGTTTTTTAATTACTACCAACTCATTTTTAAAAAAATGTATTGCCATCCCTTGGATGCTCAATGGGTGTGTCTGCTTAGTGGATTTTATAAAACTACTGCAATATGTGCCATTAAATTTTGCAGTGACTTTTTGCAACCACATGAATAGATTTTCTCTATGATGGCTGGGATTTTTGAGTGAAATTCATTCACTTCTCTGCTAATTTTTCCTTCCCTTACCTTGAGGAGCCAAGTAACTGTCCTGGAACAACTAGGTTACTTCATGCTTCAAGGCCTGGTTATACTTCTCTTTGTCTGATCTGTCTGATCAGCAACTCCAGGCAACTCCAGTACTTTCCCTCTAAATTCTGTTCTAATTCTGTATTGTGGATTAGAAAAATATGGGCTGACCTAGCTTGCCGTATTAGTCTACCCCCCCTCCCCAAAAAAACCCTATGCACATTTGTTTCAGAGTCCTTGTGTTGAGAATCTCAGAGTTTTTCCTACACGGTTATTTATCCTTGAGAGGTATGATTGAACTGAGCTGCCACAGAAGGACTATTTCTCCTTACTTCTTCCATTACTGTGTTTTTTTGTGTGTTTTGTTTTTTGCCGCGGAGATTCTCAAGGGCAAGAGTAGAGTATTGCTTCTTTTTGCTCTTTATTTAAACTTCCAAGAGATTGTGCCTAAATTACGAAGTTAGGGATCCCTTTTGAATAGGAAGAACAAATTGAAGACTCATAAAAGAAAATCCTTAATCTGGCAACTGAAGGGAACATTGCTTTCAATGTTCCGCTTTTGGTAAGAGGTGGTGTTAATTAATATTGCTATTAATAGTATCAGTGGCAATGATTGGCATTGATGGGTATGGTGTGGTTTGCACTATGCTGTTCGAGACACACTGTGTCATTTTAGTACCAACTCATGGGTTTTCAAATATTCCTGAATATTCATGGGAGTGTATGTGAATGTTTAACTTATCATACCAATGTCAGCACTTGGAAAAATTCCCATTTTTCATTTTATTTTCCAAGTTATATCTTGATTATTCTTCCCCTACTCCATTCCACAATATTAATGGTTAATGGCAAAATCTTTTGGGGTATATGGATTAGAGCTGGATGTGCTGACTGAATTATTACGGGTCAAGCAAAAAGAAAAAGAAAAAAGAAAACAAAAGGAACACTTAGAAACAGAACTTTTAAATTCCCTGTGTATTGTTGTTTGTATATACGCTGAGAGTTTATGCACTGGTCAAATTCCTTCCAATCATACTCTGCCAATAAACCTATTCTATTCTATTCTATTCTATTCTATTCTATTCTATTCTATTCTATTCTATTCTATTCTTTTCTATCCTATCCCATCCCACTCCACTCCACTCCACTCCACTGTTGTCATCATCGTCATTGTCATTATCATTATTAACAAAACAACAACAACAATAATAATAATCCGATCTGTAAGTGTGGAAATTAAGTCACTTTTCAGAAATTTGGAAGATCTTTATCCTTAAGAATAAAGGAATCTCAGTTTGTGGTTTAATTTTGTTGTCTCCTTCACAAGTACTTGAGGAGGAACAGAACAAGGAAGATTATTTCTACCCCCAATAGAACTAAAAACAGGAAGAACCTGAGTCTTTTTGATTGATGAATATTTGTTAAATCCCTTCCAGATTTGCTTGTTAAATGATAGGGATACAACAGACCCCCCCCCCCCGTTTTTTTAAAGCCACTCTGTTTACTGTGTAGTCCTGTTTCTGCTCTAAGGTGATCTGCTCTGACTACTATAGGTTACTTATATAAATGGGTAAAGAAAGCACCAACTTAATTAGCCAGCGATATATTTACAAGTGGCTCTAAGTACCAGCTTCAAATTTATTGCAGTTAAGGTAGATGAAAAGTCTTCTTTCTCTCAGGATCTGGATTCAATTTAAAACTTTCTACAACATATTAACGATAGTCAGAAGGGATTGATTCCAGGCTGAAAGTGTACTGGCATCGCTCACCTAAATAAGATCTAGTTCAACCTATGACTTTTACCAAATTTTGAAAGTTTTAACCAGTTATTTTCTTTAATAAAGATGGCTAAAAATAGATTCCAATAGTTACATAAATGGATAGATCATTAAATAACATTTTTTTTAAAATTTAAAAGAGATTAATTATGTACTGCTTATATAATGTTACATTATAAAGGCTACTATTTTATTTTTTAAAAAACCTGATAATTTTCTATTGTTTTATTCCTGCTCCTTATGTTTATCTAACCTTTATAGGTTGTTTTTCCAAAATATATTTATTTTGTAAGAAATTGGATTCCGCATATTGTTATTTACAGCAAGATATTCTTTGATTAAATTGGCAAAAGCAGCACTTTATTGTCCTTTGGGTTTGAAATAATAGTGAAAAGCATAGGGGTTTTTGTTTGTTTTTATTGGGGAGAAATAGGGGCTTTCATTAGCCTGCTAATTTGAAAACCTTCCTTGCAGGTGAAACTTTGTTCTAAAATAAATTTGTTTCAGATGCTACAATTCAGCACACTCGACAGCTGTTGCATAAGAAAGTGTGTGTGTGTGAATAACTTGTTTTAGAACTTCCAATCAATGAAAGAACACCAATCTCTCTTTTTTCCTTATCAGAGAGTGCTTGGGCTCAAGGGATCCGTATTGTGGCTGGGATAAAAAGCAAAAGCGATGCACAACCATTGAGGACAGCTCCAATATGAGCCTCTGGAGTCAAAATATTACCGAGTGCCCTGTAAGTAAAAACCTAAAATCAGAAATATAAAAATGTATGACCCATTTTGCTTTGAACCAGTCTTCATGAAATGGCTGCAGCATTGTTGTGTCCGTGACATGTGGGTTAGCTGACCATTAGAATTCGAATATTTTCTGTTCATCTGCATGAGCGTTGATGTGGGAAAACCTAAATGCATGCCGTTTGTTTATCGTGTGGAGACCCAGGCATAATGGCAAACCTTGCTACTGAGGTTTGCATAACCTTTTCCTCAAACCTAAAAAATAGCTACCTGTTTAAATTTGATTCATATTACAGAAGTGAATTCAGTGTTGTTCATACAATTACTTTTGGCGCATTTAATCTTTTTTTTTTTTTTAGTCGATAGCAAATGAATTTCTGGAAATTGGTGTGGGATAGGAGGCTCTTGAGTTCTCATCCAAGGTTTTCATGGGGGTATCTCTGGCTCAGGGGCCTCTAGTATAATTTATTGTGGTCTTTTGGTCTCCTTCAGGGGGGAAAAACCCTAAGGCTTCTTAATTTATTAGACATTTTGTAAGATAGCTCGATCATTTGGACTGATAATTGGTTTCCAACAAAGTGCTGAAACGGCAGAGTGGCATTAAAGTGGTATGATTTGCATGGGGCCTCTGAACCAGTGGTGAGATTCATTTTTTTTTTACTACCGGTTCTGTGGGTGTGGCTTGGTGGGCGTGGCAGGGGAAGGATACTGTAAAATCTCCATTCCCTCCCCACTCCAGGGGAAGGAGGCAGAGAATAGATGGGGGTGGGGCCAGTCAAAGGTTGTATTCTAAACTAGTCAAAATTTCAGCTACTGGTCCTCCAAACTATTCAAAATTTCCGCTACCGGTTCTCCAAAACCTTCTGAATTACCACCTCTGCTCTGAACAATGGCTCCACCAACTGTGATCAGGAATTTGTCAGCAACTCCCTTGAATTTGTCTCATGGAGAAGATGGATGCATATTAGAGAGAGAAAGGCAGTCTTTGAGAGGAAATAACTAGTATAGACACGTCAGTTTCTTCCTCGTTTCTTTTATGTGGAAGAATCCATTCTCATCACACAGAAGTTGCAGAGCAGATTCCACCTTTTCTCAGCGTTGGCGTACTCAGGCCAAGCTGTAGATTGCAGAGGTAGCACCCCCATTCAGAATCAGCCCCTCCCAATAAAGGGTAATGCATGTAGGCATATATTTAATAACACAGATGTAATGAATTACTATTGTTACTGTTTTTGCATTCCCATTATGCAGGGGTCAGTGATAGCTAAATTGCAGAGGGGTATTTTGTGCAGCTTGGATTTAAAGTTGCAGTCTGTGATTTTTCCTGTCTGTAATAACCTTGGTCACTCCTTTCCACCCCTCTCCCACTCTCCATATAGCATTAGTCATTCCTTCTTGCTCCATTTTTCTGTATGGATTTAAAGTATCGTCTGCTCATAGCCTTCTCCTGCTGTTCTTGGGATATAATGTTTATTGACTGCCAGGTGTTGTTATCTTGTCACAGCTTAATGCCTCTGTCTGTTGCTAGGTGTGTGAGGTATTAATCCTTTCCCTGAAACACAATGTCTGCCCTAGTCTGATGGGAAGCCCTCTCCCTTTCTTAATCAGTCTTCCATGATCGCCGAAAATAGCCTGTTGCAAGTCATTTGGATTTTAGAAATGACACAAGGGATGGGAAGAGTGATGTTTGGATCTTAAGACACAACCAATAACAGCTGCCTTATGTCTTAGAAACAGGGATGTCGAAGATGCATATTCAAAAGGTTGATCCAAGTGATTCTGTTTTGCCACAATGGATAGCGACTGGCTGGGTACAGACAATATGTGCAACTAAAAACCAGCCACTTTTATGGCTTAAGTGCAAGCAACATCATGACCTATCCATTTTCTACGTCCATCATGATGTTGCAGCCCTTAAAGGGCAGAGTTTGCACCATGATGTTGCTTTCATCATACTAGCGAAAGGGGCATGAAGTCCCTGGGCTTGAAGCACAGTTGTGAATTTATTTTGTTCTTATTTATATGATATTTATCCTGCCTTTCTTATTGTTTATAAATAATTCAAGATGGTGATAATACTCCTTCCTCTTCCTATTTTTCCCACAATACCTCCATGACGGGAGTTGGGCTGAGAAGGAGAGAGGGCTTGGCCCAAAATCACTCAATCAATGTTTCATCCCAAAGTGGGTCTAGAACTAATAGTCTCCTAACCACTAGTCCAAATTTACAACTGCCTGAAGATACAGAGCAATGGCTCCCCAACCTTTCTGCTTGGTGGACCAGCGGTGAGGGAGGGAGAGGAGTTGGTTTTGCATGCGCATACTACTTTGACAAAGGCAGCTTTGCACATATGTCGCTCTCGCCCACCACTTCTGTGGCCCGGTTCCAAATGGGCTGCAGCCCAGCCCAGGAGTTGTGGACCCTGCCCAAGACAGTACAAAAACTGTGTTTCCAATGCCACAGAGACAAGGTATGAGTTGGAAACCTGACTCTGGGATGTTCCCATTCCTAAGGCCTAATCAATCAGCGCATTGCCACCCCGTGAGTACCAAATAGAATTGCGGGTGCTGTCTTACTCTTCTCACTTACCGCGTGGAGAAGGAATGGGAAAGCTGCAGCAGTTCTTCCAGCAGAAAGGTTGGGGAAAACTGCATAAGAGGTAATCATGGGAAGGAGGAATTCAGCAATACAAGATCCAATTAGAGTTCCCTTAATGTAACTCCTCTTGCTTCTCCTCTGCATTCCATACCCAGGGCAGCAATTGCAAAGGCACCTTGAGCAGCCATTAACACATCCACTGGCAGTCATCATGGATTATTTCAAAGTGGATTAAGACTTAATTGAACAGCACTGACGTGCACAGTATGTGGCTATCTCTTTAACCATCAGCAGGTGGGAAATTACTTAACACTGCTGTAAGGAAGAGTGGTCAGAAGAAAGGGAAACCTGCATGATGCAGTAATCTAATTCCCCACTTTGCTATACAGCTATCCATTTTGCTAAGATGTGATTGGAGCTATATTCAGAATACATGACTAGAGGCTAGTAAAGGGAGACAAAAGACTCCCAGCTAGCACATATACCCATCAGTACAGATTTCAAAACATTTTTAAGCTAACAATAGATAATCTTTCAAGTTGGGATTGCTATTCATTTATTACAATTAAATTCCAACTCTTTGCTAAAGCAACAATACAGTCTCCCTTGAGTTTACAGAGCCAATCCTAATTCGAATCCTCAGGAAAATTACTGAAGGTGACTTCAGACATTTTGGGGGTATTGGACTGGATATTCCCTAAAAGAATGAAGGAAAGAAGCCTGCTGCAATCAGGAAACTGCTGGTTGTTTGTTTGTTTTTTTTGTTTCTAAGGTTGGGTCAATGTTCTGTGGTTAGTTGAAGACCTTCAGTTTTCTTATCTAAGTTTTCTTATCTAAGTTTTCTTTCTAGGATCAAACTGCATATTAGATGCAATTCTCTGATCCTAAAACCATATTGCGTGTATTAAAAAAGAATTGCTCTTTTGGATTCTACTACCTAGTGTATTTTTTTTACTATGTGTGTTAGGCAAGCATGCCTCATAAATTATACTAATACCTTGTGTACTGGAAAATCCCATGGTGCATCATTATATTAAAAATTGATATAAACGGGTTGAAAGGAATGGGGTGGGTATTGCAATGAATATTCCAAAAATGATGCATTGTAATTGTCGTTATCTTGGATATATTTTCTGTTGTGAAATGCTTGCCTTCAGATTGAGAACATGTTAAGATTTTAAGGTTTTATTGAGGACGTGCACAGTTTTTTTTTCTTTCCTAGACTGATTCACTATGATAAAATTCCCTTTTTATTATTAGGCAACTCAACAATGACAAAATGTAGTATTCCTGAAGGAAGGGGGAGAAATATTTGAATGCTGTCTAATCTATAACAAAGAAAATGCTCAAGCTTCCTTTACCAAAACCAAGGAAGAAACAGAAAATCCACCTCCTAATGTGTGTCCTGATATGTCCTTCCCAGTTGCATAAATGTCTACCCGATGATGATTCTGGCCCTCTCTATAAATCTTGTTCTGTCCACCCAAAGTGGTGCCCTCTCTGTCTTAGTTGATGGTGGAATACAAAAAGATTTCTTTTTTGAAGACCAAAACTGTAGGAAAAAAAATATTCTTTTGAAGATACACAGACCTCAAAGCTAAATTTTTGTCTAAATTAATCCTGAAATTTCTTGCTTTCAAATAAATAATCTGTGTTTCTGTTCCTTATTTCTGTCCTATAACTTGAACCTTGCCTCGGTGGAGTCCTTGGTGCTCTCTGTTGTTTGCTTGTAACTGTTTCATTACCTGACGAGGTAACATCATCAGTCTTAGTGAATGTAGGGTTTGCTCCTTGTGCATATATAGTAACTTTCCCTGTCAATTGGTGTACTTTGGGTGAACTATATGGTACTGCATGCTGGACCAGGTACATCTTCCATATTGTCTTCAAGGGTCATCCCATGTACAGCATGTTGCAGTGTTCCAAGCAGGAAGTGACTAAGGCATGAGTGACTCATCCATACATTTAATAACATATTCTAAATTCCCAGAAGACTTTTACAATGAAGATTGTACAACAGATCCCTCACTTACAGAGATATTCATTTCCTCCTGTCGCTATAGGGCCAGTGCCATCTTGGCTAATGTAAGTCAGGAATGGCAGAGACTGAGCATACGTTGTCCACCTTCTTGAGCTGCACATGTTGAAAAAAATATGTATTTGTTAACTTTACACAACTCTTTCCATCCTGCACGAATATGTAATATTTCTAAGCCAGGGAGTTCAGCTTAACAGTAGCTAGAATACAGCAGGGAAGACTGTGCAATCTTCTCCTTGCTTATTGTTTGCAGGCTGCTGAATTACAGTGTGATGAAAAACAAAGCTTTGGAACAGATGTTTAAGGTCCTTCTAACTTCAGCGTAACAAACATAATGACAGATCTAAATTACTTCCATGTTATATCTTGTAGTTTTTAGATGCAAGATGGAGGCTCAAAGGAAGTGCCAGGGGAGAGCTTGGCCATGGCCAAGTGAAGTAGTAGGAAATAGGAGAGAACAAGTTATGATTTGCAAACCTTGTTTTGTAACTATTTGCCTGCAAAAGAGATTCCATGGTGCTTTTATGAGGTAGGGAGAGTATTTGTCTGGCCTTCATAAAAATCAGTAGCAGCTGCTGTAGGGTAATGTCCCTCTTCTTTGCAAGAAATGTAGTTATTTTTGCTGTAAGGCATCTCTTTGCTGCAGTTATGACTTCCAGACATGACTTTTCTTGTACAAATATTCTCCCTGAATTCACCACTTTTTTCAATGAGGAGTCTCGTCTAGACCGTATGGTTTTCCTTTGTAACCTGTATTTCTTCACTGCCGCTTTCTCTTTTTTTTTCCTTACACCGAAAGTCTGTAAAGAAGAAAAAGATAGACTGGTTACAGGGTGAATTTGATAAGGAGTGCAACAAACTGTTTGTCCTAATCACCATCTGTGCTTTCCGGGGAAATCATTGTTGTATGTAGTGAGAAGATAAATGGATAAAAGAGAAAGGAGCCCATGGAGGATTTCCCTGTTTTTCTTTGTACTGGTGAAAGATGAAAGCAATTTCCCACAGGGATGCATTTTGGGAGCCATAGAAGCAATGGTCAATTTGATATAGTGGACATAAAAGGCTCAAGCTGTAAATATGTTTTAAAAATGAAGATTGTTGTCACTATAGTTGTAACTTTGACAATTCAAGTTCAGAATTTCCTATCAAAACTTGCACAGTTTCTTTAATAAGCCATAAGCTACAGTGTTAGAAAGTTCACTTTGGTTCTATTTTCAGTTTGTATAAGATGCACTGACTGTATGTATTGTACATTGTGAAGAGTAATGGATGTTCTTGATTTGTTTTCTGATTATATTTGATTGTTTGCGTGAGCCTAGAATGCACTGAAGCGTGGTATTGTCAGAAGAGTCACAAGAAAGATTCAAGGCTTCCTGGCTTTACTGCATTATAGCAGCTTACGCACTGTGTAGACTCATCATACTTATTTTTCTTTTTTTTTTAATCAGGTGAAAAATCTGATGGTGCATGGGCAGTTGGGGACCTGGTCTCCATGGCAGCCATGTGAACATTCAGATGGAGATAGTACAGGTTCCTGCATGTGCAGATCACGGTCGTGTAACAACCCTCAGCCCCGGTGTGGTGGACGTGACTGTGAAGGAGCCAGAATAGAGATTGCAAATTGCTCAAGGTACTTCAGAATGTTTGTGTCTCGAGTTCCCAGAAGGACGGAACTGTTCCTTTCACCAGATTGTGAATTTCCACTACATTACATCTTGATCCAACATGCTTATAGATCTTAAACCTGAGAAAGGCAGTCTACAAAAAACTATGGAAGGCCACTAAATATTTATTATAGCAAAGCCATAGAGTTGGTAGAATATTGGGAATTTGAACCTTTCCAGTAGATTGCATTAGAACACTGCCTCTGAACTAAATCTGCCTCTTGTGGAAATTAATCAGAACATTAAAAAATAAAAATTAGCCATCTCTGTTTTCCTGGTGTAATATCTGATCTTGTTACCAAGTGGCCTTTTTTTCATGTCACGTGAGTATATCCCAGTGTCTTTGCAATAGTTATTAAAAGTTTGTCTAATTGCACATTTAAGATGAGATACTACTCTGGAATAAATACAATACTTGATTGTGTTCTCCATCACCACTCTGGATCAGAATTTCCAATCTTACCTACTTAAAGGCAGCATTTTTAGTGGGTGAAGAATTTGGAGGAGGAAAAGGTGGTTTTAAAGGCTGTTCCAGATCCATGGTATAGTCATAGGGTGGGACAATTTACATATTACAACTGGCTTGTTAACATTGGATAATTTGGCCATTATACCATTGGTACTTCCAAATGGTTTCATGCAAATAAATGAGCTGCCATGTAAAAACAGGCCATTAAATTTAGCACTCTAAAAAAAACTATGTTTCAAGCTGTGCTATGTGAGATGCTAACATTGGGGCTCCTACAGCAAACTCTGGCTTCTCCATTGTGCTTGGCTGCAGAATTATTTTCTATACTATTTGGAACCAACATCATCCAAGATAGGGACATCTTCCATGGGAAAAATAATGACAAGGGAAAAGGTTAATGGACTCCATTAGGGCAGTAGTCCCATCCCAAATTAAACAATTATTATCCCAATACAAAAAGGCATTTTGATCTCGGCAAGGTGTACAAGATATATTGCTAAGAGGCATTGTGGTTATGTTGAGTTTAACCCACAACTGCATTGATTAATTTATATTGATTTACTCATAACTAGAGAGATTTAGTGGCTCAGTAGTTAAGTTTCTGAACCTTAGACTGTTGAAGTTCAAGGCCTGAATGCCGTAAACAGAATGAGCTCCCATCACTTGTCTCAGCGGCTCCCAACCTATCAATTTGAAAGCATGCAAATATAAGTAGAAAAATAGGTACCACATATTAGTATGCAGGAAAATAATAGCATTCCATGTTTCATCATACGCTCTGTGCTGTGGCATAATATGCTGGCTACATGGCCAGGAAAATGTCTCTGGACAACAATGGCTCTTTAGCTTAAGAAACTAAGATAAGCACCACCTCCTAAAGTCAATCACAACCTACCAGTTGAACCATCCTCTATCTTCCCAGTTCATTATTCCTCCCGTGTCACCAATGTTTCAGTTTCTTTTTCAGCAGGCTTTCTTCATTAAATCCAAGCCCTTCGAGATTTGATCCAGTTCCAGTGTCTTTGATAAAGAATATGGTATTAGCTCCCTTAACTGTATGAGTTCTAGCACTACCTCAGTATTAAAACAAAGGCAATGAGCTTATTTTTAAAAAACAGAAACATAAAAGACATTAAATTTGAAACTTGGAATATTAACTTTTAAAAATCTGGGGCTACCTCCTTGAGTGAGTAAAGGATATGGGTGATATACTGAAGAACGGTGTGAGGTTATTAATGAAAAAGAAAGACTGGTCATTTTTTTTTTCAGTATCACTGGTAAGGTGTTTTAGTACTGAAGCAGCAGTTTTGACACATCCCTTCTGTTGGGGTGGGTCACAGAGAATCAGATTTAATTCTGTGAAGTTACCTGAAACTGGGCACCCAAGCTATTCTTCTAGTATTATGTATTCCTAACATGTATATGTCATCAGCTGATCAAATGATACATTTTAGATATGAAGGCATGCATATCAATGTATAAATAAACACATAAATTGATGCATCTACAAGTGCATTTACATCTCTCTTCTAATGCCTGTGCACTCTTCAGGTAGTTATTGCTGAAAAATATGTTTAGTGTCATTACAGCAAGACAAATACACTTCATATGCTGCCTTGGGTGTCTTGGCAGTTTAACCTGTCACACTTGAAGGAGTTTAATTCATCTTTCTTTAGGATGCTATTCATACCTGTGACAAAATTAGCGAGCGAAGACGTGGAAAATTCCTTCACAATATGGACAGTTCTTGTGGAGAATGTTTCTACATATTTCAACCTAGATTAGTTCCTCTGCAGAATCTGTTCAGCCAGTTTTCTCTGACTGACATAAGAGCAGACTCAATTTGAATCTAGCTGGGAAGGAATGGTTTTCCATCTCTTTGCTAGAGAACATTAACATTTGGAATAAAATTACTAATGAAGGCAATTGAACTTTATTAGTTACTTAGATTCATAATACTCAAAGGTGTATTTCGTGCTTATAAAAATGATGTGATGGATAATTATTCTGATTAACCTGGTGCTGAAAGGATTTCTCAAAATCTCCCACTGAGTTTGTGACTCACCTGGGATATGAATATCTGTCTTCTCTTACTCCAGGATGACACATGATTAAAAAAATAAAAGATTGATTAGATCCTCCCTGTTTTTTAAATAATAATAATAATAATTATTATTATTATTATTATTATTATTATTATTATTATTATTATTATTATGCAGTTTATACAGCTGGTACAACTCCACCATGTGGAGCATTATTTTCTTTGCAAGAGACATAAGATATTTGGTGTAATAATTTAATTATTGCCAGCATTGTTATCAGTTAAATGTAGAATACCGTAAGATTAGTCTGTAGAAAATAGATGAAAAATGTACTTAATGTTAACATTTAGTAACTGTTAGGAAATATAACCATATGATCATCTTACATTCTTCGCAAGTCTACAATATTCCATTTTAACTGGGTTTGTATGCCATGTGATTCTTTCATCAGAATATTTAAAGGAGAGGTTTTACTAACAAAATCTAAGATTTCTATTGAAAATGTCCCTGTGATAATAAAAACCTTATTGAGAAGTGAATGTAAATCAAGTCTTTGTATTTTAAGATTGGAATCTTCAAAAAAAGAACTCTGAACATATAAAATTTTATATTCTGGCTGCTATTCCCAACATATGTCTGACAAATGGTTGAATTATTTACATATGATTATACTGACATGAGGACACAGAACTAGCTAATAGTTTTAAATTTTGTGTATGATTTTGATTTGTATATTGATGGTTTTGTTTGTGTTTTTCCTGTATCATTCTGGACATAGTAAACATCTATCCATTTTTTGTTCTGTTTTATCAATACATTTTTTGATGTACAATTTTTTCTTACTTGCTAAAAAAAAAGAGGATTCAGTTACAAGGGGAAAAAGTAATTTTCAAAAATTTATTGCCCTCCAATGAAAGAGAAATAAAATACCACTGATCAAAAGTCATGCTCCTTTCCAAGAGAGAATGAGAGAAAAAATTAGGGAAGTGTAGACAAAGTTCAAGTTTTAATTCTAATATTTCTGCTACAACAGATGAACTACTAGCTACTTTTTAGTTTCCAGGCTCTTCAGTTGCATCCATTTCCCACATAAACATTCAGGAATCCAAGAAAGAAAATAGCTTGTGAAAAAGACTTGAAAGCAAAGTTTTTAAAAATTGACCTCATTTTCCAAGGTAGAGAAAACAGGAATGTTGAGATGATAGAAGAACCGTATCTGGTTCTATTTTGTGATATTTTCTTAGATAGGACAAAAGTTTGTTCCTGAAATGTATTTCCTATTGGGATTAAGAAAACGACGTATCTGTGTGTAGAATAGGAAGTACAACCTGAATCTTTCTCAGAAAAATCATTGCAAGTATTGGAGTGAATTTTCACTTCACTGGCTGGGCCTTAATATTAACACATGTTATGGAGAATCTACTGCCTTTTTAAAAACTTTATTGAAAAATCACACTTGCAAAGAGTATTTGAACAATTCAAGTGTACATATATTCTGTTTGTATAAATGTTAACCCACCATTCATAAGCATATATAGAATGTAAAAATTACTTAAAGGAAAACATTAATAGAAACTTCAGTAAGATAAAGCAATGGTAGCAAAAAAAAACCCAAAAACAGAACGTATAATTTATATTTAACCGTGGTTTGCTATTTTAACCGATAAAAGTCCTTACAGATATTATCTGAATCTTTTAAAATATCCATTAAAAATATGTGTAAACTAATGCCCACTGTTCTTCTGTATGGAGTGTTAAGATTCTGAAATAATAATTTTCTGGTTTTTAGATAGCAATTTTTTATAGTTTTTATCATTAGCTTTTAAAAAGTTCATAACTGAATCTAGCTATTCAAATGGATATACATATTGCAGAATCACTTTTTATTAAGCTTTGTTAACTAAAACAAGTAATTGGTGAGAAATCAAACTTCCAAGGCCAGACTAACTTCCTCCCCTTTCAACCTTGTTCTCCAGCTTCTTTTTTGCAATACCATAAAATGTTGTCACAAAGTTCACAAACATGAAAAATTACAGCAAGAGTATAAATTTATGAACTATGAGGAATGTATGAGGAATTGGGTTTATACAATCTAAACTTATTTGTGTTATAATTTACTTAGGCATAAATCTGCTCACAATGAAATTACTACTTTTGAATTATCCTAATAATTATAAATTTTGTAGTTGGGGGTATTTAATTCTATTAATAGGTTTTTTACTAAGCCTAGTCAGCTCTGCACACCTGCTGGTACCTCATAGCCAGTGGGGTTGGATTTGTCATAAGACTGAACAAAAACATTAACCCGGCTGCCATGTTTTATCTCTCCTCCTTTCTCCTCCTTCTGTCAGGAATGGAGCTTGGACCCCATGGTCGTCCTGGGCCCCCTGCAGCACTTCCTGTGGGATTGGCTTTCAGGTCCGTCAGAGGTCATGCAGCAACCCTGCTCCGCGATACGGAGGCAGGGTCTGTGTCGGACAAAGCAGAGAGGAGCGGTGAGAGATGTTCCCCATCCCTAAACTTCTGTCAGTTTAAACCACAGCTCTGTGTTTTCTTTGGAAAGAGGTGGACACCATGTGGCACAATACCTTTCACAGATGCTTTTTCCAGTCTAAACCTGCCCATTTGTGGTGATAATGCTCAGAAGCCTCCGACCCTTGGTCCCTACCAAGGAGACTGGGGAGGTGGCAAATGTCAATAGGATTATCCCAGCGCCCTTATTTAGCACCTCTTTTTTATTTTTACTTCTTAAGGACTAATAGAAATTACATTGTTTTCCCAAGCCTTTTCTGAATGATTTTAACAATTGTCCTTTACTTGTTGTTAATTGTTTTCAATCATTTCATTTGTTTTATGTGATTTAAGTTTTACTGTGTTTTTTTTAAATTGATCTTTTTATTATTTTGTTCCTAGATTGTAATCTGTCTTGCAGAACTCAGGGTGGAAATAAAGGCTAGAAATGTACAAAACTTTAGACTTATGATTAATTAAAATCAAACTCATGCTGGAAAGCATATGCATCACTGTTAAGTTGTCAACATTGCTGATTCTGGAAGGCAACGTCTATATTTGATTCCATTCTGGCATAATATACCTTTGAACAGAGCCTAGTAGTCTCATTCTAAGGCCACTTCATGCTTAAGCAAGAGGGATATTTCTCTCCAGTAATAAATTAAGGTTGCCAGTAGAAAGAGAAATGTGTGAGGAATGGCTTATAAATGTTGTCAATAGAGGCATTGGCACTGGAATACTCTCTTAAAATTGTCCCCTATCTCAAATCCTCCAGAACCTCACTTTCCAAAATGCCCAGCCTATTAAGGATTCAACATGCTCACGCATTATAGGATGTAAAAGGAGGAATGGATCTTGGAAATGAATAGATTAACACAGTTGGAAGAGATCTTGGAGTCTTTTAGTGCAACACCCTGCTCAAGCAGGAAATCCTATATCATTTCAGACAAATGGTAGTCCAATCTCTTCTTTAAAACCTCCAGTGTTGGAGGCACCCACAACTTATAGCTTATTGGAGGTAGGCCTGGCTGACCCAAAGTCTGACCAAGGGAATTCTTAGGAGAAACTAATATTATAATATGGTATTGTATTACACAGCCTTAGTGGCTTCCAGTAATAATTACACAAAAAGATAACACCTGGGAGTGGCCATAAAAACAGCCACTGATTTACAGAAAGATACATTGCCTGCATTGCATGTTCAGGAAGCTGTTTTTAAGTGCACGCTGTCACTACCCCATCATTCTGGACTTGTTTATGAATTAACTTGACTAATGAAAATAATGGGTTTTTTGTTTGTTTCACCGATTTACTTGAACTTAGTGATCTATTTCTATTAAGGAACTCACTAATTAAATTGAATTAGAATGTATTATTTTGAAACAATCAAAAACATTGGTGTAATAATGGACACTGTTGTTTGCCCCAGTTGAATATTACTGGAGGAGTTTTTTTACATTTTAAGGGGGAAATAATTTTGACAATAACTTTTTCATAGCTTGTGTAAAATGTATTTTTGTATAACTAAAGAAGCAGAAAAAAGAAATTGGGTATATATATGTGGTTTCAGATTATTTTTTGGATATATAGGAAGGCAGAATAAAATTATGGTCCTCTGGAAATAATCCCTGTTCATGTAGAGGTAGATACACTGAATTAAAGAATAAAAACTTCATTGGAAATAAATCTTAGTTAACAATGTCAAGTTTATCTCTGAATAAAAATGTTATTTTATAGTAGGTTCAAAAGTTAATGACAGGCTTGAGTTCAATTATACCCAATATATTGCTTTCTAAGCAATATTAAAAGATAGCTTTCTTCTAGTATTGTAGCTCAGTTGCTATTTATGCCAATTTAATTCCAAAAAGCTGGTATTCTACATTCAGTACAAATTCCTTAAGAGTTTAATATTAAGCTAATTTGCAGCTCTGGCAATAAACATTAGTAAAATGTTAATGAAGATTCTCAGTCAGCCAGGTAAAGCCATGGCAAGTGGATTTCTTTATTTGTTGGTTTGAAATGTGTCACTGGACCACAGATTGAGAACTACTGTTCTACTTTATATACAGGCAATGAATGAATAAAAATGGTATAGTAATGAAATGTATTTTCAGTTTTTTATGATGTATATGTACATCTAATTTCTAATATCTGGAAAGCTTGACCTGGCAACCAATAATGTTGTATCTAGCATGTTATACCAACATTGTTTCAATTTACAATTAAATAATCATAATTGTTACATTAACATAGAATCAAAGCAAAATCGAAAATGATCTAAATCAATACAAGCCCCACTACTGAAATATACTCTGAGCTTCACCTATTTTAAAACTTGATATTATCAAGAGAGTTGCATTTTGATTAAGGAAATCATCTTTTATTCCAGTTCAATCAGATTAGCCAAAATTAGTTGAAGATTTACTGATTCCAGTGGTTTAAACATGTTAGCCTATGTGTCCCGTATCTTTTTGTGCTGTTGCACTTGTACTCAGACTAAGATTAGCGATTTGGGCTGAGATTTTGTCTTCTTGATGGTATAAGTAGATCTGAGGAACCATTTCCAATTTTTCCTTGTGCTTGGGGAGGCATAGAACACTGATTGTGTCTTCTTCCATTTCCCTTCCCATTTTTATTTGCATTCAGATTCTGCAATGAGAACAGTCCGTGCCCATTGCCAATCTTCTGGTCTTCGTGGGGCCCTTGGAATAAATGTAGTGCAAACTGTGGTGGAGGCATGCACTCCAGGCAGAGATCCTGTGAAAATGGAAACTCTTGCCCAGGCTGTGCTGTGGTATGTTTTCTAATTTAAAATATTGATATTGCTTTGTCGGATTATTTTGCCTCTCTTCAAGATTCTCATAACAGCTTCATCATCTGAGACTTGCTACAGGAGAAAAAGAAAAGAAAAAAAACATGTGTCTCAAGAACAAAACAATGCTGGTCACCAGTTTCTGTTTTCAGAGAGAATTTAGCACCTCTCAACTTCTAAAATCAACAGTAGTTTTAATTAATTTTTAAATTCAAAATTAGTCTGAAACAAGTCTTACATCTTATCACAACATAGAGCTAATAAACAACATTTCCTGGATATATCTTGTTATCTTGACTGTCCTGCAAACAATCACTCAAAAGGTACCGTTACTGCAGTCCAGAATTTTTCTCCTATTAGATATGATGAAAATAATGGAGAGTGGAGGATTGACCTGCTCAAGTGTTTTGTCTTGTTCCACCTAGACAGTCAATTCAAGCCTACCTACATTTTTCAAGAGAAGATGCCATCCCAAATCAGAAACTTGATTTAAAGAATAAGGGGCTCTCCTAAGAAATAATATGTGATTGGATGCAAACCGCAGTAAATGGATTCTTGAGATACAGGGTGCTTCTGCTGCTCTGAAGGAGACAGTGGTGTGTCATTTCTTTAATGGTTCTAGATAATTTTTCATTCAATCTTTCAGATTAACAGAGTTGGAAGGGACCTTGTAGGTCATCTAGTCCAACCTCCCGCCCAAGCAGGAGACGCTATACCATTTCTGATAAATGGCAGGCCAATCTCTTCTTTCTCAGGAAGGTTATTGAGAAATTCCAGAGTGCCCCAAAGTAACAAATTATCTGGACCCATTGCAATTGGGTTTCAGGAGGCAGCAAAAAACAGAGACACACTTGATCACACTGGCTGATGATTCCCTGTACAGCCAGGATGGAAATGGTGAAACTGTCTTGATCCTTTTTGACCTATCAGCAGCTTTTGATATCATTGATAATGGTATCTTTCTAGACCAGCTAGGAATCTAGGAATGGAAGGCCTGGTGTTGCAGTGGTTCTCCTTTCTCCTTAGTCTTTTCCAGTCAATGTTTTCAGGTGGGGAGAGATCCAGTCTGAAGCTTCTGGTTCAGGGTGCTTCAGGACTTGGCATTTCTTCAATAACATCATAGTGTATTCACAGAAACAGACACCATTACTGATATTGTTGATATTTTGGCTACTATTTTCTGATTCTATTCTTCAAAAGTCCCCTTCGGTATTTTCATTGTCATTACATTTTACATCTTTCCTCCTTAGTTCCTTCTAGTGTCTAGTTTTTGAACTCATTAATTTCTGTAAGTTATGTTTTGTAAAAATCAAAACAAGATCTACTTCTCATGGGAAGCTGTTTATACTTTTTAATTAACTCCAAAACTTTATTATATAAATTTTAATATTCAAATTTTATCTGGATCCTTAGACCATTTGTAACTTTCTAGAATAAAAGTGCATTTAGCTTTTTGCTATTTATTTCAGATTAAATTCTTAACATTATGATTAATATTTCTTTTGTTCAGAATTAAAAGCAGACTCACAAGGCCTTTACAAACTTGCCATCTCGAAGGTCTTTTGAAGTAGTTAATGAGCAATTTCCAAAAATTATCAGAAGGTGAGGTGTGCAAAGTTAGTTTCCTTTAAAAATATCTACCATGGTTCTGAGCAATATGTCTAGGCCTATTCCATTCAAATACATAGAAAATCATTATTCTGTAGTCTCATTATGGGGAGAAGCCATTCAAAACACACATGGGTAATCTTCCATCTTCTCTTTATCCAGAGGGATTCCAAAGAACCGATTCCTTGGATTTTGCGATGATCATCGCTTCACTTTGCCATATGTTCCTCAGAAATCCGAATAGGGTTGCACTTCACCATTCAGAACTGGTGCACAATTCAGGAATTCTCTTGGATCCACAGCTCCTGCCCAATTAGGAACTGAACTAGTTTTAATAGCGCTAAGGCCCAGAGTCTTCTTTGACTTGGGATAATTATATAAATTAAAATAATAAATAAATAAAACATAGCAATACATTCCTTCCCTCAACTGGGAATCTCTGTGTTACTCCAAAACATGTTGTGTTTTTGTGCTAATATTTGGCCTATTAAATATGGCAATTAATGAAGCTTTATAGCAGAGCTTTTGATGATTATGAGATGTTGGAGATATAACAGTTATGGGCTGGAGAGTGTCAATTTTAAATGGAACTATATAAATTAGTTACTGGGGTTAATATGGATATCTCAGTTTTCAGTGGATTTTTTTGCCATAGGACATGTTTGAGAAGAACTTATTTTACAACGTAGAAAGAATTTAGCACTTTTTCCAACTTCTCCCCAGGATATTTCATATTCACAAGCAATGTCTAGCATAATAAGGAATGTTCTGCTAGTTTTTAACAAGTCTGAGATTCAACTATGTTTCTATGTTACCTACAGTTAATTTGAAACTCTGGTCTTATTGAGGGCCAAAAGCTAAATAGGTAACCTCTACAGCAGGGATGTCAAACTCATTGTCGTTACGTGACGTATCATGACTTTTTTCCCCTTTGCTAAAGCGGGGGTAGGCATGGCCAGTGCATGATGCATCTGACCCATTGGCTGTGAGTTTGACACCCCTGCTCTAGAAGGAGTGTGATGCAGAATAATATTAGACTGCTGTATTTTTCTAATTCATTTATCAGAATAACAGAGTTGATAGGCTTGGGCGGAGGGTTGGACTAGATGACCTATAAGGTCCCTTCCAACTCTGATTATCTGTTATTGCCTTGGAGTCTTCTAGTCTAACCCTCTGCTCAAACAGGAGACACTGTACCATTCAGACAAATATTTGTCCGATCTCTTCTTAAAAACTTCCAGTGTTGGAGCATTCACAACCTCTGGAGGCAAGTTGTTCCACTGATTAATTGTTCTAACTGTCAGGAAATTTCTCCATAGTTCTAAGTTGCTTCTCTCCTTGATTAGTTTAAATTCATTGCTTCTTGTCATTTGTTCATTTGTTTTTATCTTGTGAGTAGAAACTGTTTACAGGAATAAACACAACACAATTGCTTCTCCTATTCCTCTCTAAGACTCTATCTTTCGATGGGAAGCTTGCCATTGATATTTTTATCCGAAGAATATTTTTTGAAAGCATTAACACAGAATAGCATTCAATCATGAGAATCTGTTTGTGAAGTGACACCCCCCAATGTTTTACCACCTTAGTGAATGCTAGGACTTGTCCATAAAATTTGTGCATTTATGCCTAAACAATGTATATTATTCAGCTGTGGTCTGTCACCTCAGTATTATATCCTATTAATTGAAGCACTGGGAGCAATAAGATAACTTGTTGTATATGATTTCTGAGCGTTATTTCTGCCTCAACGATTTCTGTATTTTTAATCAAATATTGCTCCTTTATGACTCCTTAAATTGTGGAAGTTTCCTAGGGTAGTGGTAAACTTGTAATTTCCTCAACCAAATGTTGAAAACTCTGGTTTGATCTTCCCCTTTTTTTCCCTTCTCTTGCTTTCTACAGGAGTACAAAACCTGCAGCCCGGAGGCCTGCCCAGAAGTGCGGAGAAGCACACCCTGGACCCCTTGGACCCCTACCAATATTACTCAAAGTGGGGCCCGCCAAGAGCAGCGCTTCCGTTACACCTGTCGTGCTCAGCTGGCTGACCCCCATGACCTACAGTTTGGCAGAAAGAAGACGGAGAGTCGGTTTTGTCCCAATGATGGCTCCGCCGTTTGCGACACAGATTGTATGTCTTGCCAGAAGGCAGACCACTTGAATCTCCTTGTTTCAGATAGCGGAAGCCTGGGTGGATGAGCCAGAGGGTTGGATAAGCACCAGTCTAGGCTGCTAGTAGAAGAGTGGATCAAAGCCAGCTGGTAGAGATGATGAATTCTGGGAAATTAGAGTACATGAAACTCACAGGATGCAGTGGGAGCTTCTTAATTTCTATGTTTATAAAAGTGCCCATCTCAAAATTCTCCAGGAGCATAAGAGTTACTCTTACTAAGTAGAATCACTCCCGGTGCATAAGTTGATTGGCTGATTAATCATCCCAGCTGCTATTTGCACTTACTTATTTTGTGAGTGAGTGTTTTATTGTTTTAATGTGTTTTTTTTAATTGTTTGGCTTTATAATTTTAGAATAGTAAGTTGCCCAGAGTCACTTGTAGGGTTGGGCAACTATAGACATTGAATGAAATAATGAATGAATGATGCTACATCATATATCCCAGAAGAAACTGTGGCAGTGAATCTGGCACTCTGATTACATGCAGATGTATTGTAATCAGAATCATCTATAGTAATGGGCCTCCACCAATCTTTTTTGGCACCAGAGACCAGTTCCTGGACTGCAGGTTTTCTGCAAAGTGAGCGGGGGAACATGGGGAGTTGCACTGCCTGGATCCCACAAGTACATGGGTGGGGTTTCACTCACTTGCGCAGACTGGTTCCTTGTGAGCCATGAACCAGTGCCAGACCATGGCCTGGGGATTGGGGACCCCTGATTTAGAGTATGAAGTGACTAGATGAAATCTTTTTGTTTGTCTACTTACCAAACTTCCATTCTTTTTTTTTTTTGCTCATTTGATGAGCAGGGCCTATATTTGCAATAGTGTGCTAATTTGCAGGTTTGACACGTTTTTAAAAGGAAGAGGTTTCATTTTATGAGAATGGCCATGAGCAACATTTATGAATTTATATCTGATTGGGATTTCTTTGTCACTTAGATGACAAAGCATCTATTAATTCTCCTAATATATTTTGCAGAAGCATTCACATGGGTTAGTAAACTGCATCCTTGAGGTCTCCTATTTATTTATTTATTTATTAAGTCATTTGCGAATAGATAGTCTTTGTTGACAGCAACTGACCAAAAAAACATTTCAAGATCATGATGAAAAACTCAATTAAGAAATCAGCTTGGTTGTGGAAAAGGCAATTTCCATGCTAGGAATCAGGAGGGAGACACATAACATTTTAGGTATCGGTATCTTATATACTCAGTAGAATATATTTTGCACAGTTTTGGTTGCTGTATCTCAAAATGATACTATATTGCTGAAAGAACTAGAAATGATCCCAAAGGAGCCATATGGCTGAGACAACTCCATTATAAGGAAATTTGCAGCTTTTAATTTAGGAGATGAGGGAAGAATAATGAGAGAATTATTAGCGATTACTTTTATAATGCTAAAACCTGTTTGAAAGATGAAGAGGATTTGTTTAAAAGGGGGTTGGACTGGATGACCTACAAGGTCCCTTCCAATGCTGTTATTCTGTATGTTAAATATTGTATAACTAAGGTAGGTATAATTATGTTGCCACAATATTGTAGCATTGGTTTGTTTTCTGTTTGTTCCCCTCATTTCTGCTGGCTGAGTATTTTGGGAACAGGATGGTAGATGAGATAGTCATGTATCTTTTCCACCAAAACTCTTAAATTTCGTCCTAGTTTTCCCCAGAGGTAATAATGCCATCTTTTTTTATGATGTCTTCATTAATGTGAAGAATGGAATACCTTTATTATCATTTTGTGCTATCAAAGCATAAAAATGTAGATGAGATCCTTTCTCTGGTGCTTACTCAGCACCAGACATTGGCAGAAAATCAGAACTAAAACGCTCCTTGCCTTGTGAGTAAAATACTAAGGAAGGTGGACATATCTTAGTTAAGACCAAGCTGAATTTGATCTATGACATACTTAAGGAAGAGGAAATGGAAACTTTGCTTCAAAATTAAGGTAGCTGATCTATCAATATCTAATGAGATATAGCATGAATTATTTAACAACTTATTTTAATTTATTATAATGGTTAACAGCTCATAATTTCTGGTTGCTTTTGTACGGTAGGCCAGTTTCTTAAAAATGTAGACACAAGCCTTCCCTCTTATTACTGGCTTCTTTCTGCCCATTTGTGTAAGATCATATTACACAGCCTGGCCAGAAATTTGTGCTGCCTGGGTCAGAGACCTCCTTTCCCCGTTTTCAAGAAAGAGGGGTAAAAGAGTATATCCAATATAGCCAGTTTTCATGGCGCCAACTTAGCATTGCATTAAACTGGAAAACTTGGAACTTGGAGCAGAGTAAAAAAACAAAACAAAAACGAAGAGGGCCAAGAGACAGTCTACAATGCTTTTGCCTTCTTGAAATGGAGATGAGATGTAGTTCATTACCAGAAGGACGTTACATACCTGTGCTATCAGGTTTGCCAGTATTTCCTGTGCTGTACTAGTGTGTTTAATTGCCACCTTTTATTTCTTTCCCCAACTAGCTCTAGTCGATGACCTTCTGAAAAGTGGCAAGACCTCTATCCGGATTATCAATGGCGGCTGGTCCTTTTGGGGGGGATGGTCATCTTGTACCCGGGATTGTGAACTGGGCTTCAGAACCAGGAAGCGAATGTGCACCAATCCGGAACCCAAGAATGGGGGTGTTCCTTGCATAGGATCTGCAATGGAATATCAGGATTGTAACCCCCACCCTTGCCCAGGTAAGCCCTTTTTTACATTTAGCATGTAACCAAGACCATTGGTATGTCAAGCATTGGACCCCCTCTCTACGAAAGGGCTTGCTATTGCTTCACTGTACCATCCTAATTTCCCAGGCTCGTCTAAAATATACAGACCACTGTGACAGCATACTGCCTGCGTTTAAAAACAATGTCGAAGTTGCTACTAGTCCAGAATAATCCAGATTGATCCTTTCTTTACCGCTATTGGCACTTTCACACAGAACAAAGTGCTTTGTCAATTGCAGTGGTTCATACATTAAAACATTGATTTTAATCCTTAAAATTCTAAATTGCTTACGGCCAGATTTTCTCAAAGGCTGCTTTCCCATGTATTTTACCTACTTGAACTGTTAAGGTCTTCTTTTGAGGCTTTCTCTGAATGCATTGATTCAGTGAAATGAGGGAAATAATGTCTTAAGCAGGGAAAATATATTCAATTGTTGAACAATCCCAGCTAATATGATTATGATAAGTGCTAATTATGTTGTAATTATACAACATACTTGTATATGTTGCATATACAGTATATATAGATATATGATGTATATACAACATATATAGACCTCAGGTTTCTCATATATATATTAAAGACTAACTATTTTTGGAGGTAGTGTCCTTGTTATTGAAAAATCTTCCAGGAAGCTTTGCATTATAGTATTCTGGGTACTTTCAGTGAAGATGCTTGTATTCACTCAAATATTTTTAAATGCATGTCTTACAGTCTCTTCTTCTGAACATCTTCAGTGTTTTAATGATTTTTTTAGTTTCAGTAATTTATAATGTTTTACGTTGTCTTAATATTGTATTTTTCCATCTCTCATCTAGTGAACTTGTATCAATTGGCAGCTGTATAAAATATAAAAAGTAAGACTAAAATCTTAACAATAGTACCACCTATCTGAAAAATCACTTCACTATAATATTTGGACCGTCATTAATAGCAGTAGCACTTAGATTTATATGCCACTTCCCAGTGCTTTACAGCCCTCTCTAAGTGGTTTTACAGAATCAGCATGTTTCCCCCAACAATCTGGGTCCTCATTTTACCCACCTTGGAAGGATGGAAGGCTGAGTTAACCTGAAGCCAGTCAGAATTGAACTCCTGGAGTAAGCAGTGAGTTGGCCTGCAGTACTGCATTCTAACCACTGCACCACCATGGCTCTCATTGCTGTTATTTGAGTTGCAGTAGATTAAACTCAGAGGTGTCTATTTGTTGTGTTCTATTTCATCTGCAGTGAAGGGCTCATGGTCCTGCTGGACTCCTTGGTCTCAGTGCTCAGCAACATGTGGAGGTGGACACTACCAGCGCACCCGGACCTGCACCAACCCAGCACCAACTAATGGGGAAGATATCTGCATTGGGCTACACACAGAGGAAGCCCTCTGCAATACACACCCATGTGAAGGTAGCAAGCACTAAATTTGTTCTTCAGGACCTGATAGTATGGTGCTTTCCAAGATTACTATGCAACAGTAATAGCTATTGTTGAACTACTTAGTATTATCTTTCCTATTGACATCCTCCAATTAGGTTGGAATTACAGAATTTCAATCAGCTGGAAGACTCTCTTCTCAGCTGATGATTGTCCTCAGTTCTGCTGTATGAGATCTGATTAAAAGCCCATTGATGAAACATAGCTGACAGGATTCTGTCATGCCATCTTTACAGTTTTTTTTTTATTTAAAATTAATACATTTAAAGAATATTCAGTATTCCACAAAGAGGGTGATTCTGTTAGCCTTGAAAGTGATGTTGAAAGAGTTAGTCGTAAAAGCATGACTGTATGTTATCCATTCCCAAATGGCTACTAAAAACAACGATAGCAGGAATATTTTATTCCAAGTTAGGAACTGAAGGAGGTTTTGATGAAACAGAGAAAAGCACAGTAAGAGTTTTTAGCTTACTTTGCTAAGTGAGGATGTTCTGCAAAATATGTGCTTGGCATACTTCTGAAAAGTGATGTTGATAATCTTATGCGCTCAATATGTTTTTGAACTACAACTCCTGAGCTGAATGTTCAGCTGAACAACTGCATTCAAATCTTTAGTTCAGTATTTTATCTCTTGCACTTTTTTCCTAGCATGACACTGAATCATCCTGTCTAATTTATCTTATTTCTGACATACATAATTTTAAGGAGGCTGGTCTGAATGGTCTGAATGGAGTTTATGCAATGAAGATAGCATCCAGTATCGTAGCCGTTTCTGTGAAATCCACAGCCCAGGATCTGTTCAATGTGCAGGGAATAGCACACAGTACCAAGAATGTCTGTATAATGAGATCCCTGGTAGGTAGAATTTCATATGTTTCAGTACACTAGAGAGGCAAAAATCTGACTGATTAAATGTTAAGGAGAGCTTCCTATATGGAAAAAAAAAGTGGTTGCTACTTTTAATATCAGTAGGATGATGTGTACAGGTGGGTTTATTGAATGAATGATTTCTTTTTTTAATGTTTCATAAGCTTATATTCATAAGAAGATGGCATTTGGCAAAGTAAATGCCAAATAATATTTGTATAAATATTATACAAATTAATACATGATTACAGAAGGTAGGTACAAAAGAAATAATTTAGGAATAATCTGTACTTTGAAGGAGTATACTCATATTACAGGTGGTTATGATGAGTTTTAGCTATGCTTGATTAAACCATTTTCAAGAAGTTACTTGTCTTATTACAACTAACATCTATTTTATTTAGCACATGGCTAAAATGTTAAAAAGCACATCAGTTACCTTCTTAATGAGCAAATATGAAACTATTTTCTCTACAAATTCAAAAGTAGACTATATATTTATGTTTATATGGGTGGGAGGGATCCTATGATTCATAAATACAAGATATTCTGCACTCCAAAAAAAAATTAAAATTGCATTAAAATAAGCTGAACTTGGATGAATTAGATCAGTGGCTAGCAGAGGACAGACATATGACAGGTAACATGAAAGTAAATGGTTAAAATACTGACATATCTTTATTCATTGCTTTGTCTGGTGCAGCTAATTCCAATACCATTATTATTCAGTTAAAAAAATCTGAAATAAATGATGTCAGATAAAACATAATAAAGGGTGGATTAGAGTGTTTTAACAGTTTTATTTATATAGCAATAGCAACAGCACTTAGACTTATATACCGCTTCACAGTGCTTTACAGCCCTCTCTAAGCGGTTTACAGAGTCAGCATATTGCCCCCAACAAGCTGGGTCCTCATCTTTGAAAGTTTTAAATATTGAAAGTCACCCAGGATCAACTATGCATGACTTGGGTGGCTGTATAAATTTATTTAATGAATAGATGGTTTGGAGTTGGGATGAAAAACATAATATGTGTGCTATATTATCCACTTGTGGTATTCAGATGTTTTGTAAATGCAACTTGAATTGTACTACTCATTTCTTCAAGTTTTTTATATATACGTGTCTATGATTTTTGCACAGGTCTTTCTACAACAGAATACTGTTGCATTTGACTAATTCTCAATCTGATCCACATTTCTGTAATAACAGGAAGCATGTTCTTTTCAGGAAGGGTGGGGGGGGGGTGTTTTTTTTGTGGGGGGGTGTTATGATATTTCATTCTGTATTTTTCACCAGATCTCTGAAAGAGCTACTTGTTTGCAGCAGAAATTAACTTGCCATGTAGTGAGCAAAATTGTTTTAATTGCCTGTACACAGATGACAAAAGTGACATTTCCCCCTCCCTTTTTTTTCATTTTGTTTAGTAATCCTGCCAGCATCGAGCATTGATGAGAGCACGAACTGTGGAGGTAGAGTACAGCTAACTATAGATCTTGCATTTATCTTAACATGACTACTCTTTTCTGGGATGCATCAACCAAACCATTAATCTGTGTGATTCACATCCTGTTGATATCCCTAATTCCACTCAAGTCTCCTTGTCAGAGTTGGAGAGGGAAAGTTTTTTTTTATATGGATGTGAAATTCTCAGAATAATTAATTACTAGGGAAATCAGAAACCTTTCTGGTGTAACTCCCTTTTCATTGAGCTAGAAAAAGATCCCGTGTTTTCCTTAGTACTCTCTTAATTGTAGAGTTATCACTGGGTGTCTCTACAAGCAAATTATTTCTGTTCTCCAATTCAGGTAAAACTTTGAGTTTTAGGAGAAGCATTAAAACAATTATTCCTTTAATTAGCAAATCTGAGGTCAATTCTATAATACTTATTTTATAAAACAAGGCATGTTTTATTTAGAAATTCACATTAACTTAGTTCAATCAATCAATCGATTCAATTAATTCAATCAATTCACTTAGTTATAAATTGTTAATGACATAAAAGTGAGTAAGTTCAAATACATTCAACCATTCAGAACCCCTCCCATTCATATTCTATTATCAAATTTATAAATATGTATTTATCACCTATCTTGTGGTTCAAGGCTCTACTCCTTTTAAGAAATGCCCATGTTTTCTGAAGAAAGAAATTGATTGAAGAAATTGATTCCTCTTACATTTTTTGCCATCTTCCATTGTAGAAAGCCCCCAAAATAGCTCCAGTGTTTGTTTTTTTTGGAGTGGTAAAGTATTTAGCAGATGGGGGAAAAATAGTCTGCTAGGAAATTGGGCACCATGCTTACCCATGCGATGTCATCAGCTGCTCTTCATGGGATGCCAGAGGTGTTGTCAGCTGGAAGCAGTCGTACGTTCCTTTTCAAAAGCCTCAGGGGATGAGGAAGCTTTGGGTCAACCCTTATAAGCAGGCAAAGCAGAGGAGGAGTAATTGGACGCAATAGCCGTGATGCTTGAACAACAGGAATGGCGGGGAGTCTTCTCTGGCCTGCAAGATTGAAGTTTTTTGCTTCGATTTTCCTTTCGTAGAACTTTTAAATCTGCCTTGTGTTTTAAATATTCTTTTTACATTAGCCTTTGATCTACTTAGATTGCTTAGCACGGTATTAAACCTGCTACTGACAACTGTAAAAATACTAGCTTCTAGGATGTGAGAAGCTGTGGGCATCAGGATAGTCGATATAATCAGAATGCAATAATTTTTTCAGTTGCCTATAACAGTGGGCCCTTCTTTATCAAGATAAGAAACGTCGTTAAAAATCTACCTATAAATCCCAGGGGTACCAAGGCAAGACAGCCTGTGTAAGATCTGGGTTGCCTTTAAAAGTTGCCAGTCACTAAGTTTTATCTTCAAAGTTCAGGAAAAGGCATTTTCCTTGTGCAGAATCATTACTCTGTTCTCTGTAGTTACTTGTAAGTTATGACCAAAGATTTTGAAAAGGGCAGAAGAAAAATTGGCTTTTTATGTTTCCCAGAATAATCAGCTGCAAATACTGATGGCTCTTTTCCCTCTGATTTTATTTTAGATGAAAATTGCTTTTTAATGCCTGTGGTATTTCATGACTGATATCAGAAAAAAAAATCTGCTTATCTACAAACAACAAACTTTATTTGGTCCTTTTAAAGTTCTGACCATTGTTAGATTCATGAGATATATTTGCTCAATCCTTTCAGATCAATTTAATAAGCAATTTTTTTCTCCGGAAGAATCTTTAAGTTGTAGATCTGAGATGGGGGCTGAAAATTTTCAGTTATCTCACCAAACTATAATATCCATGAGAAGTGCAGAGGCATAAAACTATTGCATTTTTGTAGTTACAATGCCCTTGAAAATATTTATAATATTGTGTGTTTCTTTGCTGATGCTATAACAGAGGGTAGAATCTGACTATGAAAGAAAAAGAAGACCTTCACATACCACAACAATTTCCACATGAAAAAGTATTGTTCTTTTTGGAATTTCTACTGCACATTTTAAAATTGATTTAGCTTATTCCCCTCATCAACAAAGATTTTTTTTCTGTGAGGGGATGTTGAAGGGATGTTTGTTGCTCGGAATGTTTGGTATTCTGTAATTCCATATGTTCTTCGACTCTTCACACAAGGACAATCTTACCATTTAATAAAAGTGCATTTTTCTTTTTACTTTCAACAAAATGACTCTTGAAGGTTACACAATGTATTAGGACTGTAATTGGCAGGAACGGTTTTAGGGGCATCAAAAAAACACCTTAATCCCAGCTCTTGCCCACCACAGTCACACTTCTCAGCAAGTCTCTTAGACACAACTTAGACACATATATTCAAACTATCCTATATGAGGGAACAAAGCAATTGAAAATAACCAAATGAGCCAAAGTCAGGAGACAAGCTTTTAAAGTAAAGGAAGGATATATGTATGTACGTCTTTGAATCAACATTGATGCCTAATGTCTGTCTGGATAAGTTCCTGTAGTTTCCTTGGCAAAATTTAGGAAGGTGTTTGCCATGACCTTTTTCCTAGGGTTGAGAGGGAAATTTGCCCAAAGTCACCCAGCTCGCTTCATGCCTAAGATAGAATTAGAAGTTCCAATCTCCCAATTTCTTTCTAAACCTCCCACCAATTGGCTCTCTAAATAGAGGAAGGCAGCATGGAGAATCAGTGACCGACCTAGGGTCAATTATCCATAAATTCATACACACACAAAAAAAACATATAATGCATAAGCAAGGAACAGGCCACAGTTCAGATTTTGAGACTTTGGCATCCTAATGAAAATGGCATCTTTTAACTCCTTGGATTATTCCTAACCCTGCTAGATCAGTAGGAATTCTGATTGATATTGTTCCAGAGTCATTTGTTGAGATGCAAGTGACATTCATACAACTGGACGAAATAAATAAATAAATCACCAGAGGCCATTAGGGCGGCCCTCCAACTTAAATATCAGGAACCAGCCCCTTTTTATTATCTAGTTTATTTTTATTTCCTCCCTGGCATTTTAAACAACCCCAAAGGCTATTTTCCTTTATGATTAGTGAAATGTGCTTTCTGTGACAGGCCCATCCTTTAGATGTGTATTGTTTGTAAACTTCATTTTTTCAACCTGTCACCTTCAATGTTTAGTTTCGGTTTCAATCAAAGGAGAAAGGGAGACTTTTTTTAAAAAGCAAGGCATGATCCCATTAACACAGAATTGCGATAGGCAAACTAATAGGAAGGAAGGAAGATGTATACAATGTCCTGGATGTTTTCAGAATTGCGTTTTGCTTGTACTAAGGGAACAGAAAATTATTCTCAGGCCTTCATGCATTCAGTAGCCATCCAAATATCCTTTTTTATGGTTGTCATGTAAGAGTATTTTTTAATCATAAAGGGGACACCTCTTATCCAAAATTTTGCAGATGAAATTGTAGAAAAAGAACTGAGGTATCCTCTGTTGCTATGAGAAGATACAAGCTTCGCTTAATATGTTTTTGCCATCCAGTTCACTTCTCTATATAAAACTGATTTTAGGGGAATGGTAGGAGGAATATATTGAGCTATATATACATTCAGGCATATATACATAAAATTTAGAGTCTATCTGACACCCTGTCATTCGGTGTGGCTTATAGTGTTTAAAAGCAGGAAACAATAAAAGCTTGGCAACCAATATACCCCAAGGCCTGGGAAAATAGCCAAGTTTTCAGTGACTTTTTGAACATCGAGAGGGTGAGACCTATATGGATCTCAGAAGGCACGATGTTCTAAAGAAGGCCTGCTTCCTAGGTCCCTGTAAATGGCATTATTTAATCAGGGAAATCTGGAGCACAACTATTCTGTCCATGATCAGAAACTGTTGGAGATAGGTGGAAGCCCTGAGCCATAAAAGGCTTAAAAGGTGGTACCAGCCCTTGAACTGCATCCAGGTGCCATCTGGCATTCAATCAACAATGAGTATGGTAGTCCAAATAGCCAAGATAGTAATGGACAAGCATATTGTGAAAGAAGGGCCAGCATGGTATGAAGCCTTACAATATTTTTGTTTACAAATTATAGTACAAATGTTGCAACTTATGGTTGAGAAAGGTGGTGTTTTGCCATGTTTGTGTCACTGATCTTAGCTTCCTCTTAATACATTTCTTCCAGGTTTTAGCCTCATCCACCTCATTGCCACAGGACTCTCCTGCTTCTTTGGCTCTAGCCTCTTAACCTTTGTGATCTACGTTTACTGTCAACGGTGCCAGAGACAATCTCAGGAGTCGACCGTTATCCATCCCACCACTCCCAATCATCTTCATTACAAAGGCAACACAACTCCCAAGAATGAAAAGTACACACCTATGGAATTCAAGGTAAGAGACTGCATCCATAGATTGATCTCCTTTAAGTGATACGATTCATTTGCAGCAGAAATAGATAACCTGTGACCTTCCAGACTCAATAAACTACAATTTCCAGTATTTTCACCATGGATTGTGTTGGTTAACGCTATTGAGAGTTGAAGTTCTGCAACTGAGGGCCTAATAATACCTATAGTGCTCAGTGGTTCCTAACTCTACATGTAATTTTCTTGGTTGTTTTTTTTGTTTTTTGCAATACACTTGAGTTGAATTTTATAATTGGTAAAATCATATGGCAGACCTATACTAGCTACTGAATCTCCTGATACGCCTTTGTCCAATCAGAACCTACTACATAATTCTTCTGATTCTGTTACGCATTTTACACCTCCTTTTTAGGCATGGCCTGTTTTAGAGAGATTTGTTGTGGCTTCAAAAAGTCTGTTTTCCCACAGAGGATGGCCTTGATTTGGCCCATCACAGTCATAAACATAGCCTTGGTAATATAACTGAGATATATTTCTAAAGGGAAGAGCACTACTGGATATTACCAAGTCTGTGTTTATGACCGTGATGATAATTGGATAATAAGTGCAGCCTCCTATTCAAGACTAAACATTCCGATATTTACTGTGCTTTCTTCCATTTCTTTGTTTTTCTTTAGATAATGGTGTTCCTCTTTTCATTCAAATTTTAATCAGTGTCAGAAAAAAGTTTATTTTGTTCAGAGGTACACATTTGGTGAGCATGGGAAACACCATGTTGAAATAACCAAATGAGTTTTTTAGTTTGGTAGGCTTATTCATAATAAAATATTCTCTGTTGTGTATGCATTGATTTAGAAACCTCTTTTTTAAATTTTATCTGGAATTTCCCTGATCAAGAAATGATCCTGGGAAGCTAATAAATATTGCAGTATCAATTAACACATAATAAAGTGTCTAGCAACTCCAATCAATAAACTAGCTTGGGGACTAGGGAAAATACCCTCAAAAGCAACTGATTAACTTGCAGAGATTATGGCAAAGTTTACTATTCTTTGCCTGTAATTAAACAACAAGCAAAGAAGTAAATAGTGAGTAGGTACAAAAAGCAGGATGCACTTAAAACCAATCCCAGTTGAGAGCCTCCTTAGAAAATCAAGCTTCTAAATCAGGGATGTTAAACTCGCGGCCTGCAGGCCGGATGCATCACACACTGGCCACGCCCATGTCAGGTTTAGTGAAGGGGGGGAAGTCTCAATACGTCACGTTACGACACTGTGACGACACGACTTTGACACCCCTGTTTTAAATAGTGCTGATAATACAGCAATAACAATAGCATTTAGACTTATATTCCACTTCATAATGATTTACAGCCTTCTGTAAGCATTTTTACAGAATCAGCATAGTAGCCCCAATAATATGGATCTTCATTTTACCGACTTCAGAAGGATGGAAGGCTGAGTTGACCTTAAGCCAGTGAGAATCAAACTGCTAGCAGTCGACAGAATTAGCCTGTAATTCTTCATTTTAACTATGCCAACCATGGCTCCTTCGGCAGATTTTCAAATTTTCAAATTGCATGAAAACAATTTTAAAATAATGTTTAGAGCTGGAAAATAGAATTTGGCATACAGTATCAATCCTTCAGTCCTGTTTGCTTGTGTTTCGAACCCTGTGAATCTTTATTCAGGCTTCCCTTGCCCTATAGGTGCCAGGTTGCCCGTGGAAATTCTATCACTGCCAGCAAACAAATGGAAAGGAAATACTCAGTTCTACTGCTACATAATTTCACGGATGCATGCATGATCAGGCGGTATGCAGGCCAGGTGCATCAGTAATAATTTTAGAATCTGGAAGAACTAACTTTATATTGAAGAGATGGGAGGGAAACTATCCCCCAGCAGAACCTCATTATATCCAGGCTGAAAATGGAATGTCAGCTCTTTCATTCATGTTTTAGTTCCTTTCTGTGATTTAAGGAGTTACATATTTTTCCTCCATATGGAATGCCTTACTTGTTCCTGTACAGGAAAGGTGTTGCAAGAGGAAGACAAACTCTGTCCCTGCTACCTCCAGCCCAAAAGCAAGATTAAAACCTACCTTAGAAGCTATGAAAAGTCAGTTTTGTCTATGGGGATCTTGATCGGCCATAGAAGGAAATATAGCATATTGCTTTAGTTCATTTTTAACAGCCTATTTAGTGAAATAATTTACTGCTTCTTCTCTAAATCTTCCAAATGCAAGTGGAGATTTTAAGACCAGACACCTTTTCCATGTCAGACTCACTATGTCTCAGTTGGCTAAGCTCTAAACTGAATAAGAACTTTTCTCCATGATAGGTTATCTTCTTAATGCAGGAAACCATTTACAAGTAGTCTTCAACTTACGATCATGACTGGGACTGGGACTTCTGTTGCTAAGCAAGATGGTTGCTAAGTGAGTCACGTCTGAATTTACAATCTTTCCCCCCATGATCGTTGAATGAATCCCTGTGCTTAAATTAAGCATGGAGTCATTAAGGAAATCCAACTTTCCCATTGACTTTGCTTGTGGGAAGCCGGCTGGGAAGATTGCAGATAGAGATCATGTGACCTTGGGATGCTCCAATGATAATAAATTCATACCTGTTGCCGAGGGCCTGAATTTTAATCACGTGACTGCATAGGATGCTATGAGAATCACAAGCACGAGGACCAGTCATAAGTCATTTTTTTTCAGTAATGTCATGTCTTCGAATATTCGCCAAATAAATGGCTATCAATTGAGGTCTATCTGGATGTTAGGACTATGTGCTCCTCTTCCAACTTTTGCTACTATCTGTGGATTTTCTTTTTGTTGCTCTTTAAAATGGGTCTTAAATATACTTTTTTAGTCCCATTGGACAGTTTTCATTAGAAAATTATGTTGAAATAGTTTGAGTACATAAATAGCATGTTTCATTCAGTTCTGTGCTACTACCAATAAGCACACCAACTCCTGCATGTAGGAAAATGGCTGATCTACTTTCTTTGGAGAGGCCACTGTTATATCTACTGATTGATTGTTTACATGCCATCAAGTGATTGTTGATTCATAGCAACCCCATAGATAAATGTTTCTTCAGGATGATCTGTTTCTAACTTGATCCTTCAGCTCTTCCAACAGTACATTCATTGCTGTTGGAATGGAGTCCATCCCACTTGCTGCCTCTTCCTGCCTTCTTCCCTTTCTTTCCACTTTTCCCAACATTGGGAGCTTTCTCCAGAGAGCTGGAACTTTGCATAATGTATCCAAAGTAGGACAATTTGAGCCTGGTTTTATATCTATATAGATTGGAGGGGGAGGGGAATAAGGAAATCATCCTTTTTTTCCCTTTGAGCAAGGGTGATACTCTTAAAGCAATAAAGCCAGAACAAAATGGAAACCGCCAAAAATCTCCACCCCCTAAATTTTAATGCTAGTTCGTTGCTTGCTTTATAAAGCAGCTTGAGTACTTTGACAATTCCTGTTTCTGCAATAGGTTTCTAGACGTACTACATATGCCTCACTGAGAATGAGAAGAGCTGAATGTTATTTGGTCTTTGGAGCAATCGTCTTATCCCTGTGAGCTTTTTTGTGAGATACTCTGATTTGTGGGGGAGATAATAGCTTGGTATTTTCAGTTTGCCTTAAGAGGCACAAAGCCCTTTCATAGCCTCCCTTTTTTCTCCTAATCATTAACTATATGTCAAATTGTCCAAGTCATGCAGGCAGGAATTTGTAAAGGGTTATAGGTAGGAAGCTAAGGAAGTTTAGCCTGTTGGAACATGAATACCTTGAAATAATAGAAAATACAGGTTTTTGATTTTGAGAGTGATTTGCTTTCCAAGCTTGTTTCAATTTAGTTTCTGAACTTTCCTTTGTGAGATTAGGTAACATCATCAGTAGGGTTTTCTTGTCCTATTCTCCTTAGATTATAAATGTCTTGTGACAAGACATCTTGTAAGAAGAATAGGGACAAGAAAATCCTGGTGATGTTATGTAGTCTGGTAATGAAATGTTCAGAAACTAAATTGAAACAAGCTTGGAAAGCAAACCACTGCCAAAATGAATACCTTGAATTTAAGATTCTTCCTGATCATGGTTATCTCAGTAAGCAAGTCTCAAAGACTGATGTATTTTGTGTTTCCTGAATCGTGAATTCAGTGTGGTATATACCAATTAGTATAGCGGTTTGGTGTGTAGCAGTTAACTTTTACCAGTTCTAAGCCTAGAAACCAGGAGACTGGGAGTTCTAGTGCTGCCTTAGGCATGAAAACTGGCCAGGTGACCTTCAGCAGTCACTCCCTCTCAGCCCAACTTGCCTCACAAGGTTGTTGTGGAGAAAACAGGAGGAGGAAAGAGTATTAGGTATACTCGGCATCTTGAATTACAAAGTAATAAAGGTGGATTAAAAATCTAATGAATACATACACAAATAAAATAAATATCAATTTGCAAATTCCATTATCATTTGTGGGTACAGCTTCAGTTAAATGACTACAGATGAGGGGCATTATATTGTCCTTTCCTGTTTATTGAATTCCTTCCAAAACTTATTATCCATTATTTTTAGGTTACAGTGGCAGAAAATTGTTTGCAAGTTAATGCGAAAACATTTTTATTAAGCACAAGTCAGTTGTGAATTTGGAAAATGTAAATTGTGTCAGACAAAAGAAAATCTCCACTACCCATCCTGTTTCTCTTTCTCTTTCATCTAATTAAATCCATGTTGATTGATGCAGAAAGGCCATATCCTGTTTGGTTCAGGAACAGCCTCATTAATTGAATTTCCTGAATTTCTACTGTCCTGAAAATATTTGCTTCTTTCTGTTCCATAATCAAAGGGAGTCCCTTAGACACCACTAAATGTTATTTAATGCCAGGATGGTGCTGAAGGCTATGCTGAAGTTTTTGAAGTTGATCCACTGGATTTTGTCTTCTACCATAGGTGCATAGACTGAGAGTAAAATATCATGGGTTATAGGAATGGGAGGGAAAATTCCAATAGGAAATAGGGGTGCAGTT